ATACAAAATTCAGTAGAATGCTATATGTTGCCCTTGCATACTGTGACTTTGCCATATTCAATTATTAGTTCTTTTGCAGATTGATTTTCTGTATAAACAATTATGTAATCTTCAAATAGAGATATACAACTTGGGAATGTTTATTAACCCCATGAAAATAAACTGCTAATCAACCATAAAGCTTGTCATTGAAAGAGTTCCTGAAAATCAGAGGTGTCAGTGAAGATTGAGTAGGGTTCTGGATTTCCACCTCTACTCAGAAGTCATAGTAGTTCTCTTTTTTCCCTGCTAGAGCATCGTCAGATAAAGCCAGTTAAAATGATGATATAAAATAACATCCAATGTCTTATAATACAAACACATTCAAGTTTATACTATGTGAAAAAAACTAGACACAAAGATCCAACTATTGAGTGGTTATATTTATATGCAATGCCCGGATGGGTGAATTCGTAGAGACAGGAAAGAAATTTTTGGTTCTCTGAAGCTGGGGATTGAGGGTGTTAACAAGAAGACTAACCGCTAATAAAAATATTAAAATATTCTAAAATTGTGGTGTTGGTTGCACAACTCTGAATATATCTTAATCTTTAAATTGAACACTTATAATAAGTAAATTATATAATTTGTGAATTATATCTCAATAGTAACTGCTATAAAAATAAAAAAAAATTAAATTAACAACTAGGGACAATTTATGTGACTATTACCAGATCTGAAATCAAGAGGTTAATCTAGGTATAATACACTCTGCAAGATATAGAGACTATTTTTATTTAATAGGTATTAAATTCTTTATGGCCAGACAAAATATATGAAAATTTAATGATTTTGTAAAAAAAAAAAAACAAAACTTGAAAGAAATCTTTGTTCTATTGTTCTATTCCTAAATCAATTATTTTGAAAATAAGTACATAATTTCTATAGAATTAAAGTTGGCTGTGATGGCTAAGAAATAATTTCATAAAGAGGTAAGTTTTAAAAATATCAACAGTTTTTATGACAAAATATAAACTAAATTTTTGCTTTGTCTGCTCTCTGGTTGATTGATTTCTGTTAACCTGAGTTATAAATAAATATATTGAGCTATGAATTATATAAGTAGACAGATGCATTGGATCATATATTTTGCTATTATTTCATGTTTAATGCCATGCAAGTTTGTGAGGATTTAAAGACTATCATACAAAATATTTTAATTCTTATTATCAAAGAGCTAATAAAGGTAAGATTTACTATAAGTACAATGTAAACTTCTGTTCACATATGACACAGCAAAGAATGGGCCTTTGTAAAGGGCATACCTTTCCCAATTCCAGGGTGTGCCACTCACATACTCGACATTAGAATATAGCTTCTCCTGTTACGTGACTTCTGAGACCTCTTTACCTCCATAGCATTCCTATTCAGCTCTCCAGTGGTTATTCTTTCTCCAAGGAATCTTTGTTTCCTCTCTCTCTGTCTCTGTCCCTGTCCCTGTCTCTGACTCTCTCTCTGTCTATCTCTCTCTCTATATATATATATACACATATATGTACAAATTTGTCATTTCCTATACTCTCCATCTTTTCTAATGGTTCTTTTCTCTACTTAAGATACCATATGCAGATGCAATTTGACACGGGAATATTATGATTCTTGTGAATCATTAAGAACTAAATGAATCACAGATCATTTCTTATTCTAAGGATAACATTTAACTTTCATACTCATACTTCTCAATTAGTATTATCTCTTGTATTTCAGGAGCTCTTTCAATGACAAACTATATGTTGATTAGTGAATTTTCTCCTCATGGGTTGATATATATTCCTGAGATGAATGTTATTTCTTTTATTTGTCTAATCACTGTGATGGGCAGCTTTTGCATGTTTATGTGAATAAGGACCATACTAAATAAGTCGTGGATATTTGGGGAGAGATTTCTCATATCTTAGTCTATCTGAATAGAACACCTTAAAATAACATGGTGCCCAAGCTTCACAACTGCATGTGATACTCTGCCTTTCCTCCTTGTATCATTTAGGAATGCTTTTCCCATGCATATAATGTCATTAAATAAACATTGAGTCAAGGAAGAGGGCTTAGTTTAAAATAATAAATGATCACACGTTAGTTCTCATAGTATTTATTGCTTCAGTAGGTCAATAATATCAAAGTCAATATATTCTCTTGCCTTAAATTAATTTCCCAAATAAAACACACATTAAAAGGTTCTTTGAAGTTTGGGAAGCAGAAAGTAATGGAAAATAAACATTCCCCTCACAGACTTTTTCTCTTTGGGGAGAAAGAATACTTTTTTCTTGTATTGTTCCCTTGTAGAATTCCTCCTACAAATCATTAAAAATAGACATCTGGCTTTTTTTGGGAATTTTGCTTTGCCTCAATCTTCATTTCTCAAAGGTAGCTGAACTCCTTAGAACAGAAATCATTTCTTAAAATCAGAATCTTCTTATTTATCTACTTTTCAGCATGTTTCTGGCAACCTTACATTAATTCTTACCCTTCTTCTGATTTATTACAGATCCACTCAGATTATGTCATGTCTTCACTTTGCTTTGGCTTTCTAGTTGAGCAAAATTACTCATTAAAAAGGGCCTGATCATTTTATGTTTCTGTGAGCCAATTTATTTATTTTTAATAAACTAAGTATATCTTTCTTAAATTCTTTTTCTTTTTGATGCCAGACATGGCTTTAACTGTTTTTTAAGCCTTTCTGCTCTTTCTCCTCTTCTAATTTAACATCTTTTAAAGTTTTACCATTTGTCATTTCTAGAATGACATCAGTGAAGTATAAAAATGACATTAAGAAATAACTTAGGGTACTTGTGAAGAGCATGAAGTCTGAGTATGAACTTCACCACTTGGCTTTTAAACCTGGTTCTAATATTTCATACTTTAGTGGACTCTGACAATTTACCTAATCTCTCTGAATCATCATTTTGAAATCTATAAAATAGGCATTTTAACAGAGATTATCTCATAGAGCTGTTGTGATAACTAAATTTATCAAGACATGAAGCAGGCTCAAAGTATGAGATATTATTACCTAGTAGTCTTTATTACCATTTTAAAATTTTGTTTTAACTGCAACATTTCGATAATATTTATGTTCATGTGACACTGTATCATGCACTTTTGTATTTAAGACTTTAATTTTTAGAAAAATTTTGTTCACAGAAAAATTAAGAAGGTACAGAGATTTCCTGCATATTCTCTGCCCTCACACATGCAAAGTCTCCCCCATCTATTAATGACAAGCTCCACTAGAATAGTACATTTGTTACAATCAATGAACATACATCGGCACATCCTTTTCACCCAAACTGCATACTTTACATTAGGATTTGCTCTTGGTGTTGCACATTCTATATATTTGAACAAGTATATAATGGCTTGTATCCACAATTTTAGTTTCATACAAAGTATTTTTACTACTCTGAGTATCCTCCATGCTCCTTCTATTCATTTTTCTCTATGCCCTAACCCCTGGCAACCATAAATCTTTTCACTGTCTCCATAGTTTTGTCTTTTTCAGAATGACTTATAGTTGGAATCATATAGTAGGTAGACTTTTAAGATTGGTTTCTTTCACTTAGAAACATGCATTTAGGGTTCCATGATATCATTTTATATTGATAGCTTGATAGCTTATTTCTTTTTAGTGCTGAATAATATTCTATTGTCTAGATCTACCACAGTTTATTTACCTATATATCTGCTGAAGGCGTTTTGGTTGCTTTGTATCATGCACTTTTTAAATGTCATTCCAATGAAGTGTTTTATTAAATATTTATTAGCTAAACAGAATTTTATTGCATCATGACAAACAAAGCAAATATTGTAGACTAATAGTTTCAATAAAATCCCAGAAATATTCAGAAGAAAAAAGCAAGCAAAAGGAAAATAAAAATGAAAGTAAGCACATGGGAAAATGTGGAGAGCAACATGGATCAGCTGTGTACAAAAGGCTAGTAACTATGTCTTCATCGTGTGTCAGGCTTCACTTACATTAGAAATATGACATTGTGCAAACAACAGATTATTTCCCTTTGCTTCCCACAATAGGATAATCAACCAATGCAGTTAAACAAAGAAAGACAATTAAAACACAGTGAATAATCAACATTGATCAAAAATTGGGAAACATAAGAATACAAAAACAACTAGGACATAACTTTTAAACGTAATTACGTTTTTTTTCAGAGAGATAAAGAAATATTACAAGCTCTTCAAAACCAAACGAGCAGTTATTAAGAACCACTTGGGAGAAAAACAAACAGTACAAACCTGGGAGCTTCTGGGTAACCTCAAAGATTTATCTTAATTTCTATCCTTTGATATCAATAAAATGGATTGATTAAGACAAAATCAGGTGCCAATCAGAACCTAGGGATTGCTGAATTACAAAGTACATTCAGTTAATAGACTCATATATGGAGGAGAGGCAATGAGAGGAAAAATTGGGATCCCAATGTTTGGAAGAGGGGTATTTGAGCAAAGAAATATGACTGAGTACTTCAAATTGTCAGATGTCAAAGACACACAATTATTAAATATAATTCTAAAACATACCAGGACAATCTGGCTGGGAGAAAGTGGTAAAGGGTTAAAGAAGTACATATTAGTAGTTGATAGATGGCCACAGGGATGGGGAGCACAGCATAGGGAATGCAGTCAGCAGTATGCAATGGCTAGGAGGAGAGCCAGAGAGAAAGAGCAATCAGGGGGATCGTTTCATAAACTATATAAATGTCTAACCGATGTACTGGATACTTGAAACTAATAATAAAATTAAATTAAAACATACCAGGGAAGAGTATGAAGGCTAAAACCAAAGGAAAGAAAAGAGCTCTCCCTCTCTCTTTCCTTCTCTCTCTCTTTCGCAGTCTCTCTCTCTCTCTCTCTCTCTCTTATTTGTGCTTGCTATTTCTTGAGGCACATAGAGCAAAATTTAAAGTCCATAACCTAGTTTACAGGAATTATATTGTATGCAAACTTTAAGAAAAAAGATTATATAGTTTTTTCCATACCCTTTGTAGTGCGCATTTTACATCTTTGTTCCTCAAGCTATAGATCAAGGGATTCAACATGGGGATGACAAGAGTGTAAAATATAGAAGCCACTTTATCACTGTCAAAGGAATGACTGGACTTAGGTTGCACATACATAAATATCAAAGTCCCATAGAATACTATGACTACAGTCAGGTGGGATCCACAGGTAGAAAAAGCCTTGTGTCTACCCTCGGCGGAGTTCATCCTAAGAATGGACCCAAGTATGAGCAGGTAAGACACAAGAACTATCAGAAGAGATGAAATTAAATCAAAACCAGCTAAAATCAGAATAATCATTTCAATTTCATGTGTATCTGAGCAGAGCAAAGATAACAACGGGATACTGTCACAGTAGAAATGACTGATGACATTGTAGCCACAGAAAGATAAATTGAAAATCTTTATAGTGACTAGAAGAGAAACAAATGTGCTGTAGAGATAGGGGATTGCCACCAGCAGCTGACATATTCTTTGTGACATGATGACTGGATAGAGCAGAGGGTTACAGATAGCCACATAACGGTCATAAGACATTGCCGATAAAATAAAAATTTCACTAACAATAAACACAAGAAAGAAAGCTAGTTGTATAGCACAAAAATAATAGGAGATTGTATTTCGAGCTACAACAAAATTTACTAACATTTTGGGTCCTACAGTTGTTGAATAACCAAGATCAGTGAAAGCCAGGTGCCTGAGAAAGAAGTACATGGGTGTTTGTAGACTGGAGTCCACCTTGGTGAGGATGATCATGCCCAAGTTGCCCACCACTGAGATCATATAGATGATGAGGAAGAGCCCAAATAATGGAGCATGCAGCTCAGGGTGGTTTGTAATCCCCATGAGAACGAATTCATTCAACAATGTTAGATTTTGCGTTTCCATGAAGGTTTATCAAGAAACCTGTCTAGAAAGAGACAGCAATACAGTCAATAGATTTTATGTATTATTACCTGGGATAGTTTTAGTATGCAAAAATAGTATAAATAAGATACACTCAAACTTTCTAATTTAGGATATATGAAAATAAACTCATCTCCCACAAATAATAATATACATAAATAGAGATAGAGACAGATATTGTTAGTATTTCTCAATTGGAAGTGATTTTATTAACCAATAAGCATTAGTCAATGTCTAGAAGACATTTTGATTGTCACAACTGGGAGGTAGGGTATTATTAGCATTTATAGTAGTGGTAGTGGTCAGTAATGCTTCTAAATATCCTATAATACTCAATATCCAGTCCAAAATATCAATAGTGCCAAAGTAGAGAAATCAGGATGGTATAGTATAGTTAGAGAGACAACAGATAGATGATGATAGATGATAGATAGATAAATACATACATAGATACATAGATACATAGATACTTAGATATAGATAGGTATACAGCATATAAATATAGATACATATAAATATATAGATATAGATATAGACATATATACATAGATACATAAAGAAAACATGAAAAAACTTAAAACTATGTTAAAAATTTATGCTACATATATAAATTATTATTGTGCTATTCTTTAAAGTTTTCTATTAGTCACTTATATAATTGCAAGCACAGTGACACATAAGTTACATTTAATAATATGGCTTAATATATGTGCCATTTATATAATAAATTAAATTATAAAATTATATAATAATTATAATAAAAATTTAAAACCACAAATTCCAAAAAAATGTATAGAACTCCCTACCTCAACACATAGTCCTGTAAAATACTTTATGTTTGCAGGTGATACAGGCTAAAACATCACGCTTGACAGATACTGAACAAATATATAAATAAGAAAAGTATAACAGAGTACAGTGAGTGTTATTTGTTGTTATATGGAGAAACACATGAGACATGTACATATATAGATATAATCCCAGTTATACCTCCACTTATGATATATACCAAGGGTTACTTTAGGCAAAAATTTAACTTATCTAAAACCCTTTAGTCTCATATACTAACCCAGTATTTCCTTCTGGGGTTTTTGGCAGGGATAAACAAATATTAAATGATCCCATGTGTTTATGTCACCTAGAAATCAAGTACGTAAATCATTTTATTTTTGTTTTTTAAATGGCCATAATAAGTTAGTTTAAAGAGAGTTTCTTTATACATTTGTATGTAAATTCTTCCAAACTGTGACCTATCTTCTTTGTCAAGGCTATGATGATCAACAGGTGCGAAGTAAGTCAAGTAGGATAGAATGTATGTAACTTACTCCAGGTCCTACACCATCCCTTTCTCCATGACGAAAATTAGACCATCAAGGTGCTATTCTTCTGAAATATTTATCTTCTATTTTCTTAACTAATAAAACAAAACGCTAACATTTCTACATAAATTGTCCTAAAATATTAATCTTTTCATGACAATTAACATATTATCATGTGAGTTGATAATTAACTTACATGCAACAAATCAAATACACTTTACAGTGCAACAACCCAGCAGAGTATGAAGAAACCTGGGCACCTTGGGAGAAAGAGCAGTCATTGGCATTGTCTTCACATAATGAAGATTCATAAAAACTGCCTTTAGATAAAGAGATACTATACTCTTTAACATATGTTTAAAGGTGTGTGCATTGGATAAAATTGTTTAAAGTCACTATGTTACACAATACTATAGAGATGAAATAAAATACACTAAAGGATTCTTTAATATTACTTCAAAGTTTTCTACACCTTAAGGCCACAGGAATGTTTTCAAACTACGATATAATATAAAGCACAGATAAACATTTTGTATAATTGAATAAAAATGTGCCTAAATATCCCTAATAATATACGGATTAAGGATATACCTGAGTAAATGGTGGATGGCAGATTAAGGTAAGAGAATTATTAGGTTTAAAATATTGTGAGCATGAATGATATCTTTTAAAAAAAGAAATAACACTGGTTACAATAAAAATTACAGTGGCAGCAGTCTCTGAGTGACCTGTAAGAAAATAAATACAAACATAGAATTGTATGACATTAAATACAAAAGTGATTACATAAAATTTACATTTAAATCACTTAAAATATTGCTTATAATTTTGTGACCTCCTGATTGCCTGCCTACCCTGCCCAAATGCACATATCTTTCTTAAAGCAGACATGTGGAAATGGACATCAATAAATAGTAATTTTAGAGAAATATCTTCAGTACATATAAAAAGAAGCAGTATAAATCTTACTTTTTGTTTGTTTTGTTTTGCAAACATGAAAGGTTGAGAAAAATCATACATGGTAAGTTCCAATTTTCCTGTAAGGTAAGAAAGATCAATGTTTGTTTGTTTGTTTTTTCCTCCTCTCATAAGCCTTAGTGTTCTATGGGAAGAACCAAATTGTTTTTCCATAGTTTAACATCTTTGTTGAATACCAACTGTTACTTTTAAAAAACACTATACTCTTTGAGATAACTATATCTGCTGTCTGTCACATTCAATATGAAACTGAAAAACATGCTGAACATTGTACTATGACCACAAAACTGAGTACTTAAAAGTCTTCCAATATTCAAATCCTGCCTTTCACAACTCAGTGAGAGGTGGAAGGTCCCCTTTTGTTTCATCAAGAGAACTGGAAAGAATCCTATCTGTACATTTATTTAAATAATCATTAACTATTGAATTATATTGAGAGGATCACAAAAAAGAGCCTAGGGCCACTAAATAACTAAGAATTTGGAAGGACATCAAAATGATAGATTGAATACCTGCAGTTTCTTGATTTTACCAATTTTTAAAAATTCATGTTTCTTTATAAAGTTAAGCTTCATTTGCTCTCAGTTTTGGCCTGCATTAGAGCTATAATATTTATATAAAACATATATTATAAGTGACAGCACGATGATGTTTCAAAGATGCTTTTGAGCATTTAGTCTGTCAACTCATGAGAAAATACTCAAAAACATTAATATGATGAGAAAAAAGAGAAGGATACTATTCCTGCTCAGGCATCATTCAGGAGTAGAAAGCAAAGAGAACTAAATCAGAGATGATAACATTTTGCTAGTGTTTTGTCATGAAAGTGGAACTTTGCATATGTCACTGAAACATTATCAATACTGGTAACGTCAGGGACTACATGGAATATTCTGTCTTTTTACCTGTAATGAAGCTTCTCACTTGACTCCCTCATTTGTTTTTTACATGGCTTATAGAGAACAATTTATGGATTTTTTTCACTTTTTGAGAACTTCCCTGAGGAGATGCCAAGCAATTTGTTGATTGTCCCTAAAGTATTTGTGAGCACAACTATCTGGAGGTTGTTTTTTAATTGTCAGTGACAATTTGCATTCACTATGTTTCCTTCTTTCCTTCCTCCCTCCTGCCTCCACCCTCCCTCCCTTCTTTTCTTCCTTCCTTACTATTTTACTTTTGGTTAACTTTCCTTTTGTACCATACAGGACTCTAGACTAAAATACTGTATAACGCATGGCCATCAAAAGTCTACATTTGCACAGTGGTCTCCTCGAATGAGTGACACAGTGTAGAAATGCTTAAATTCTATTGTATTATTTTAAAACTTTTAGGGAATTAAAATAATACATTACACAATAGGTATTGCTTCCTCGATTTGTTGCTCATGATGTTTTTACTTTTCCTTCAGGGATAGAAATTAATTACTGTTATTTCTCATTTCATTGTGAGTTTCTATCATCTGTCTACCACTTCTCTTATGTTTTTTTTTTTTTTACTGCATATTGAATCATTTTTGTTATTCTGTTCTGTGGAACCCTACTTCAATACAGATCTATTCCATTACCACAAGACACCGTTCAACAATAACCTCCAGGAAAATTTGAAAAGATACAGGTGTATTATTTATAGGACCTGGAAATTACACAGCAAACCTAGATCACATAGCAAGGTCCTGGGGGGGAGGGAAGAGAGGTGAGAAAGAGAGAGAGAGAGAGAGAGAGAGAGAGAGAGAGACAGAGAGACAGAGAGACAGAGAGACAGAGAGACAGAGAGACAGAGAAAGGAATTTGGGGTTCAGCTTTTACTGGAGTTTTATAGGCTCACTCATTATTGATGAATTTAAAACATATGAATTAAAGCTGGGGAAGAAAAAACAAACAAGTGGCCCAAATGGTCAGTTATTGAAATCAACCAAGATGTCCAAAACAAAGGAGCCTCAATGGGGAAAGGCAGTATGCCTGGTGGTGTGGCGGGCAATGTGTCCATTGGAGATCGCTATCTTTTGAAGTAGATGCCCCTTTGAATTAAATGCCTGGGCAACCAAATCTTAAATCAGTCACTTGCATTACAAAACAGCAAAAGGAAAAAAGAAAGTCAGGATTTATACTACACCACATCCACTTCCTCCTTCTCTGCCATTGTTTTTAACCCCTGGTAATTACACATCTGTATTACATCAGTATACTTTTGTCATTTGAAGAATGTTTTATAAATAATATCATACCACTTGCAATCTTTTGGGTTTTTTTTTTCACTCAAGATAAATCTCTTGAGATTTATTTGTACCGTGTGTGTGTAACTTATTTGTTCCTTTGTTGTTATGAGTAGTATTCCAACGTATTGGTAATACAATCTGTTTAACCGTTCACTCACTAAAAGGCATGTGGATTCTTTCCAGTTTTTAAACTATAATGGATAAAAATTCCTCGAATATTCACTTAAGATGATTGTATGAACATAAATTTTCATTCCCTTTAAATAAGTGTCCAAGAGTATAATTGGTAGGTTATTTAATTTTGATGAAGTCCAATTTATTAATTTGTACTTTTATATATTATGCTTTTGATATCATGTCTATAAACTTTTTTCCTCTATATTCAAATTGTTTTTTTCTTTGACTGCTTTTTTTTTTTATTATTATCAGTAGCTTTCACAACTTGATTATGATGTGCCTTTAAGTAGTTG